TCAAGTATCTTCTATTATATTTAAATGTTTGTTTTGACGTCTTCGTGACGTCACTGGCCCAAGAATTTTTGTTTTTCATATTCTTTTTCAACAATTTTTGTACAGATATTATTTCTTCTATTATATTAAAATGTTTGTTTTGTCATCTTCGTGACGTCACTGGGTCAAGAATCTGATTTTTTTTTACTTTCAGGAAATAACATTTTTAAAATTTATAGATATTTAAACCGTATTAGAATCATCGAAAAAACAGAGTTAGCATAATTCCCTATGACAGTTTAGTGAAAACAAAAAAAAATAAATTCTTTGAAACAACCAAAAATATTTGTTAGTATAAATTATTTATTTATGAAAAGGATTAAAAGTTATCTTAAAAATATGTTTATTATTATAATGTTCTGCATTCTTATAATGTAAACATGTTTTTTATGACGTAGTATAAAGAAAAATTCAATCATTTTTTTATGTTAGTAACATAAGTTATTGAATAATAGTGTTTTATTATAAACTTTTGTAATATAGTCATTATACGTACTTTATTTACAAACAATAAAATTATATTATAATAATAATATAATAATTATAATTATATTATATTTAAAACAATAAAATGAAGTAAATTTAACTATGGAAAGTTAGCCCATATTGATAAATAATTAATTACCTTTATAAAATTAGTTTTGATTGGAATTGCTTGAAAGTTGTTACTTGAGGGTTTTCAGGATTACGAATATGATAGTTGTTTCTAAAAATCCTGAATAAGTTTTAGGAAATAACATTTTTAAAATTTTTTATATTTCAACCGGTTTAAAGTCATAAAAAACTAATGTAGAACAAAACACAAATCATTATATTCATTAAAATAAATTATTTATTTATGAAAAGTATTAAAGATTTCTTAAAAATATTAAACTTAAAGATAATAATAAATTTATTATAATATTAATTTAAAAAATACAGTAAATACATATGAATGAACTGAAATAAGTAAACAATAATGAGTACAATTTCAACCGAGTGAGCGTTAGCGAAAGAGGATATGACGCTAGTTTTTATAAAGATCCGTTTACTTAGTTCTAAGATATTCATTTTTTAACTTAAGACTACAAAAAACTTAAATTGTTTATAACCTTGAGAAATTTAATTTTTTTGAAAAATCCTTTGAGTCAGTTTTTCAACTCATAATAATCTTTTAATTTTCTATATTACCAAGCAAATACAGTACATCTTTAATTTGGGTGATACACTTCAGGAATTTTTACTCACCAAATAAGAATAAAGATCAAGAAAAGAAACGAGAACCTCCTGCTCAAGATCGACTGAAAAATCAAATCCAGATATTAAATTCGGAAATAGTATCGCTCACTGTCAGAGATAACGTTAATCTTTTAAGTACGGACGAAAATGCGACATTACGGAAAAAAGCGAAAATAATAGAGACTAAAAAAAAGTTAGCTGCAACAGTGAGAAGTCAGGACCGAGCTTCGAAGTACTGAGGAAATCGAAAACGAGCACTACAAGAATTAGCGGATAAAAATTTAATAATAAAAAAGTAGCTTCGTATCTGTTAAACTTATCAGAGCACAAAATGACAAGCACAAAAATCATATTGACGCAGCTTTTTGTTCAGCAACGATTCACAATTTAGAAAACCTGGCTTCAATTCTTGGTCGGGAACAGGTTTTTTTTATAAGCCAAGATGGCAAAGCAAATGTGCCCATTGGCATACTCTTATGCCATAGATGTTGACAAACTTATGCAGTTAACAGAATTTGATGATCTCATGAAAACAAAAATGACGCAGGTGAAGAAATCATAAAACCTATTGAAATTTTTACTGTCGATGGAGGACCCGACGAGAATCCGCGTTATACTAAGGTTATTTCTGCTTCGATTCATCATTTTCTTCAATACAATTTTGATTATCTTTATGTTGTGTGCAATGCTCCTGGCCGAAGTGCCTTTAATAGAGTTGAAAGGCGTATGCCTTCTTTAAATAAAGACCTGGCAGGAGTTATATTACCGCACGATCATTTCGGGACTCATTTAGACCACAAATGTAGAACTATCGACGAAGAAAAAGAAAACTTTGCATTTGCTGCTAAGACTCTCGGCAAAATATGGTCAAATCTTGTGATCGATCAGTTTCTAGTAGTTAGCGAGTTCATCGAACCAGATTTATCAGAAAATGATACTTCATCACTGCTAACAAAATCTGTTGAATGGCAAAATCGTCATGTTAGAAATAAGCAGTATTGTTTACAAATCATAAAGTGTCCTGACGAAAAATGCTGTTCCAAGTTTCGAAGTTCTTTGCTTCAAATTTTGCCAATCCGTTTTTTGCCTCCTCCGGTGCGCTTAGTTCAAACTAATCGAAGTTTTTGTTTCGATCCAGAAAATGGAAAATATCCTGATCTTCTATTATCACAACGGCTTCAGGAAACAGTTTACCGAAAAATGTTTGAAGAATTTCAACAATGTCCCTATGACGTAGCGTGTTCTTCTGTTGAAGAAAAAACTTCTCGAAAAGTTTGTGAGAATTGTGATTTATATTATGCGACTTTGAAAAACTTAGATAAACATTTTACTCAATGTGAAATAGAATCACCCCCAATAAAAATACGCCCATAACGAATTGCCGCTAAACGTCAAAGAGAACTTCTGGCAATAATATATAATGTTACGTCTCAAATAGATACAGGAAAGAAAGAGAATAGTGATTTTTAATGACAAGGTTACAAATTTATTTAGAAAAACATTTAGAGTTATAAAATTAATCTTTGAGAGAGAGTATCCTGAAGCAACCATTCTTGAAATAAGAGGAAGTCAGCATTTCACTGCAAGAAGGAATGTGAAGGTTATTACAAATTTTTATAAGAAGTTAGGAAGGATTTAGATAAAAAGTATTACAACTTACCTTGAACATTTAGATGTAATATGTATGAAAAAGGACCACTGCTGTGTCCTAATTATGATAGGAAGGTCTGGTACCAGATATAGTTTAAGAGCTCACAGGAAAATTGACGGACCTTGGTGATAACCCAAACAGTTAAATTCTTCCAGAAAAAGAAGAAAAGATGATTTCCAAATATTATGAGAAGTCAAATCCTTAAATACTTGGATGAGATCTTCTTGACGTAGAAACTTTTAACACTTGACACAGAGATTCTTCTACGTCGAACTTGAGTATAAAATCGAGCAGAGTAACAATGCTTGTTCTAGATTTCGTATGTGACGAAGACGTGCTGATACCAAAATATGAACTGAACTTGCGGTTTCGGTGGTAATTTCTGAACTGGTACCAAATATGAAGTAGAAGTAACGTGTATGATTGAAAGTTCTTGCTTTTCCCACCCTTATATTATAGGCTAGCCCTATCTCTCTCTCAATTAAACGTGAAAGAGGGTTTGTCTGATTATATTGCAGAATTAGAAAGAGAACTCCTCTGTCTTAAATTGCAGCTGTAGGAAAGGGACACTCGTTTATGCCTTTTTAAGGAAATACTGAGTTTCTCGCTTCTGATTGTATATTTTTAGAAATACAATATATGAACGTAGAAGGATACAAAACGCAGGGTTCTTTTATATATAAAAGAAAAGATGTTTAGTCGCAGGGAAATACAAATCGGTATTGATTAAAAAACAGGATTCTTATAACATGAATCTAAAAGTTACGGTGACGTGACAATAATATTGAAAATAATGCGGAAGCTGAGTGGTTCGACGAAGAATATATCGATCAGGAGAATATGGAAATACCGACGGAAATCAGTGCAAATGCATCCATTATAACAGTCAAGGATCATGTGCAATCTGTTTGGGAAGAAAGCAATTAGATTTTAAAAAAATGATTATTTTAAAAGATTAAAATAGAAAAACTTTAAAGATGAAGATAATATAACTTTAAATGTTTATTGTTTGTTGATTGTAAACGTTTTTTGTCAAAAATAAATGTTTATTACGTTCTAAACAAAATAATATTTTTTATTTATTAAATATAGAAAATTTACGAGGGGGTAGGGTTGTTTTCCAATGTGACGTCACACTTGGGGGGTCAAAAGGTATGTGACGATTTGTGATCTGAAGAAGGATGGGGTGGAAATAATGTTAAAATTAGCGTGACGTAATTTATGGACGGCCCCATATGGAAAGCTATAGAGAAAGTTTAAAACTTGAGAAGTATCGGTTGGGGTAATGCTTCCGGTAACGCATATCTTTTCTACTCAAACCAAGGAATATAACATAAGACTGTCTTTCTCTATCTAATTTGCATATTTACTCGTTTTATAATAGAAAAAATAAAATAAATATACATTGTGACGTGGCACAATTTTTTTATAAACAAAAATCTATTTTTTTTAAGTAAATAAAATCCTTAGTCACTACGATTGCCGAGGACTGCCGCAATTTCTCAGGTCATGGTCGAAATATTTGTTTATTAAAATTTTGTTATTAATTTACTTGAATTTCCCTATATGTAACGTGCCGAGCCAAATTCAAAAGCAGAGAAGTTTCCCGGTTCCGGTTCAGCTGTTTGGAATTAGTCAATGCACATGCGCAGTTTCATCACATCCGTCCTCACACAAAAAGGAAGCTACAACATTCGTCAACACTACATCGAAAAACCCGCTATATTTTATATTCGACTTCAAAAAATTAATCTCACAAAAGAACCCCTCGGAATATATTTGATTCCGTAAATCTCTAAATTTATTTAGAATTCCGAAGGAATATTCTAGAGATTAATATGAAAAATAGTTTCTTTGTCATTTCCCTTGTACAATAAGAGACACTTTATGCTCAGGACCGAGTTTTCCCTTGTTATATTACCAACATTTTAATTATCGATTTTTTTTTAAATCAATATTAAACATATGTTTTTAATAAAAATTGAATTACTCGGAGGTGACGACAGGAAATAAAGAATAATAAAACGAAAACAGAATTGGAAGCATGAATCTACAACCGAAAATATACCCCTGAGTCACTATTTTTCACCGTAGTTACGCTCCTATCCTGGCGGATTAATACAAGACCGAAAAGTAGACCCCGGTGCGGGTGAGCGGAGAGGGGACGAACGAAGAAGCGTGCCGGCAATTAGGACCTTAATAGCTCTCTTTCAATTTGGTGGTCATCGGCAGTAGTCGTGTTGTATTTGCTATCTTAGTTAAATTTTATTTGAAAGAAGTAAAAGTGCATTAAATCGACGTTGAGTTGGATATTCAACAGCAACAAAAGGATATGTAAGTCACGTCATAATATTCCCTTTTCCTTTTTTTATTTTTTTTATGTAGACTATAGTAAGTGGTTCAGCCGGCCTCGTGGTTGAGTGAGAATATTGTTTGTCATTCTACAATGTTTTAAAGTATTAATATAAATTTAATTCTTTTCATTTTAACATAATTTTTTTTGTTAATTATTTATTGTTTCAAAATAGAAGAAGAATGACTTTTCTCATTCAGCCACGTGACCATAATCTTATAATATCATGTACATTTATTATATTTATTTGTCCTATCTATCCCTAATTTGTTAATTATTTAAAATTAAAGTTGTTTTAGTAGTTTTTCCTTTTTTTTTATTGTCGTAGTGTTCGATCTACGATGATTCTAGTCCCTTTTATAGCAAAGTTGTCTTGCGATAAATTCTTCCCTTCATCTGTGTTTAATTATCGTAGTGTGCGATCTACGATAATTTCATCCCATTATCATAAAGTCGTCTTATGATAAAATTTCCCAAATTTTTGATATCGTAATGTTTGATTTGCGATAATTGAAATTATTCTTTTATTAATTTTTACCCTCCTTTTTTTGTTGTTTTATGTTAATTTCTTTATTAAAATATATTAATTTTGTAATTTGCTGACCACGTGTTCGTGAGTTTTTGACCTGAGAAATTGTTATTGAAGAGCGACATTTCTTTTCTTTATTATAGTAATTATTGTGATTATTGTAAAATTTTTCTTTAGTGTTGCGTTACTGTATGTCGCGATAAATTTGATATAGATCATATTTAAAATGGCTCTTAGGATAAGTCTATGATCGTTGAATGTCGGGATATTTGAAAATTTTGTGAAATCAAAATGAAATCTCTTTTTTTTAATAAATTGTTATTTATCTTGTTTTAAGTGTAATTTGTGACTTTCTCGAACCCCCCCTCTCGGTCTAAGCTAGCGGCAATTTTCCCGAAATTAATCATGGTCTTTAATCTGATAATTGAATTTTAGATAAATTTACTATATTTTTTTTGTCTTGTTTTTATTCTATAATTTTACTTTTATTGGAATTTAGATCTTTTTGTATTATAGAATATTATCTTTTTTTTTTTAATTTTGAGATTTGTCCCAAGAAAGGACTGGCGCCCAACAAATTAATTTTTTTTGATTTAAGGACCATATTAATTTCCGGATATTAATTGTAAGGACTAAAAGATTTTGGCTTTTATTGTTTATTATTATTTTAATGTTTGTTTATTACCATTCTAGTTCTTGATAAAAATTCTCTGTAATTGTTTATTAATTTGTGATTGTTTATTAATATTTATTTTTTTTTAAACTCCAAATTTTATTTTATTATTATTTATCTTTTTTTTTTTGAAGGAAAAAGTCCGTTACAACATATACCTGTATTAGACACTCAGAATAACTACCACAAACAATACCAACCCTTGGAGAATAGACCCTTTGTTAATGAGGATTAACTCTGAGGACATAGTTAATCATTTCTTTCTCCCTTTATCACATGGAAAGCTATAGAGAAAGTCTAAAACTGAAGAGGTATCGCCTCAGGTAACGCTTTTAGTATCGCTTCAGGTAACACATACCTTTCCTTCTCACACCAAAGAATATAACATAAGAATGTCTTTCTCTACCTAATTTGCATATTTACTCGTTTTATAATAGGAAAAGAAGAGTGCTGGAGTGGGATTACAAATAGCGACAGCGCTACGAAGATTTCGCTACGTAGCGATTCAAAGCTACATTCACTTTAAAAAATTTTCCAGCTATCGGGAGACTTAAAAAAATGGAATCATTTTGATAGATTTAGGTTGGTACAATTGTTTTTCTGTGTATTTTTTTTCTCATATTTGCTTTATTTTATAATTTAACAATTTTTTTTTAGAATCAAGAATGTATCATATTCATAAGGATTTCCCACGATGAAGAAATGAAGCAATTAAAAGAAGTATCTAAAAGGCTGACAAATTTTTCAAGTGTAACACTTCAAATCACAAAAGTTATAAAAAGGCAATTCGAGGCAATGATAATTATTAATATTATTATATTAACACTTTTATTTTCAATTTCTATCCTTACAAAAAATCAAGAAAATAATTCACCTTTATCCAATAATAATAAACTATTTAATTTTCTTTTCTATATTAATAATTGAATATTTATTGCATTTATATTTATTATCTTTTTCATAAGATTAAAAGTTTCTATTAGACATTGTCTAAAATGGGAAAAAATTTTATTTAAAAAAATTTTGAAGATATAACTTCAGAAATAGAACTTTTGTTCTCACGCAAGGGTTCACTAAAAAAATGTATAGGGCATTTTTTGTGAGTTTTTCAAAATATGAAAATTTAAATTAATTTAATTAAAAAATAATTAATTTAATTTAAAAAATTTATCAATTTTTAAATTTAGGCTGGTAAAGAATATCCTAATTTTAAATCTTATGCAATTATTATTTTTAATTCTTGCAATAAGATTAATTTTCTTAATTTTTATTTATTAAATTAAATTAAAAAAATTTATTTCCCTTTATAAATTATTTTAACATTAAACTAGAAAATTTATTTTTAAAGTTGTTGTTTATTAAATTAATAGGTTATTTGCAATATTAAAGTATGATTTATTTCGTCACTAGTTAATTATTTTATTTGAAACTAACAGTTGGCAAACATGAAGTTAGAGAATTGATTCCACCTTCATGTTGTATTTGTTTGCTACGTAGATAAAATATTTTAGGAAATTGACATGAATTCTATGTCAATGTCCTTATTTAGAGGGGTTATGTTTATAGTTTCTTCTAAATTACTATCTTGCAGTTTAAGCTTTAAAGAAATTGTCAACGGTATTTTATTTTGGCCATGATTTGGAACAAATTTCACTAAAAATATGTAAGTTTTTAATTCTAAATAACAAAAAGCGCTACATAGCGACTAGCGCTATTAGTAATCCCACTGCTGTAAAAAGAAACTGAAATTATGCAATGATAATAATTTTATGTGATATAAGAAAAATAAATGAAAAATGCAACTGGGTGAGGGGTTCTCTCACCATGCGACTGACGGAGGGTTTTTTAGATTACGAATACCCATCCAATTGCAGATTTTTAAAAATGATAAAAATTGTAATATAATAATAGTAATTTATTTAGTGTTCTCACATTTACAGATTTTTGTAAATATTTCGACAGTAGGATTACAAATTTAATTAAGATTAGATATATTTAGAATTGTAGCAAAGCATCAATAACGCTTTAATTTGTGATAAATACGTAGTAAAAACAAAAACTTAAAATTTTATTGCCGTTATTTACCGGAATTACTTAATTTTATCATATAGAATTATTTTAATTCACATTATGAAGTAAGCATAATTAAAATAAATATTTCGTAACAAATACAAAATCTTACACGTTACTAAAATTTTCCAATGCAAACTTTGGAATATTCAATGTAAATCTCAAGAAATATTTCTATGAATTTAAAATTTCTCCTTATTGGCATGCGAGGAAATATTTTACACGCAAATAGATCGAAAATTACGCATCAATGTTCAATAAATGTTTAGTCAATGTTGACCTACAATCATAAAGCAGTATTGACGTAATGCATATTTCCATGAATATAAGAAATTTTTGTAACTATGTCAACATTAATGCAGTATTTTCTCATTATCGCCTCAATATTGTAAGTCAATTTTAGAAAAGATGTATTCTGGTGTTGACTAAAATAATATATATAATAATAATAATATTATTTTATATTATTATTATTATATTTTATATTATTAACTATAACAGTACTTATATATATATACCTGACATGGTTATTTTTAGTTTGATTAAATTATGAAAGGGTATTTTCTAAAGAGGTCTTTCTTGGAAAGACAAAAGCAAAAGACCAGTAAAAACACTTATTTTTATCAAAGACTAATGTAAGTCAATATTGGCTGAAATTTTTCGTGTAATTTTCGATCAAGTTTTATATTAAATATTTTTTCATATGCGAGCATTTTCATGCTTACGCAAATAAGATGATTTTTGCAATAATAATTGTAACCCAATCATCACATAAGCTTGCAACATACTTGCAACAAGCTTGCTTTACAAGGAGTGCAAGCTTGTGGCAAGTATGTAGCAAGTAAGAAAATGTCCGATTGCAACGTCAATTAAATTTTATAATTACGTCAAATTAAATTTTGCTTTTGAGATATAACTTATTTTTGAACATGTACAGATCATTATATCTGTGAGGTAAAAAAAGTACTGCGCAGCCATTAAATTGCCATAAAATTCAACTGCGCATAGTTTTAAGGTTTTTCAAACTTATGCAGCGAAATATATCGTTGGGCCACTGTGTTAACCAGTGAACCTCATGCAAAATTAAGGTGCCGGTCTAGTATCAATATTTTCCTGTGTACTACTGAAACTTAAAGTACTTATTGCACTCGTAATCCAATAGTAGATAATTTAGCGTTTTAAACTTATACTACATTGTAATTGTTGGTTAATTTGCAAACAAAACAAGTATGTTCATTCTTTGTCAGAAGCAGTGTATTGAAACGTAATGAAGCATTAAACACTAAATACATACATAATTTTGTGACATTTAATGACAATAATAAAGCATTAAAATCTAAGAACTACATAATTTTATGATACTTAAAAAATTAGTTAACTCTTTGAGGCACACTTCAATAAATGGTTAAATAAAGTCAAAGTTTTTTAATTTTATTTTTAGTAAAAAGAGTGCAATTAAAATTTCGTACTTGACTTTCATTGTTCTTGTTTCTTCATTTTATTGTTTGGAGTCTTCTTTTTACTGCGTATTAAAAAATAGAAATAGTGCACAATATTGTTGTTCTATATTTTATTTAATGACTTTTCTTACAAGCACCTCCTCATATATTTATACATAAATATATTTGTAAAATGTTTTGTAATATTTTCAAAAATTACAAAATTATGTTTTGTAGTTTTACAATCAATCTTTCTAAGAAATGTACATAATTTTTTGCAACGATTTTGAATTTTAACACATTATAGGTGACTTTTAGATTGGATTTCTGAAATTTTTAAATATACTCTGCAAAAGAAAAAATCTTAGAAATCCTACGTTTAATAGTTTGTTAATACTCTGAGGAGTCTCTGCATCATAGAGCGAAAGCTCAGTTATTTTGTATAATTTAAAATACATACTTTTTGCTCAGAAGAATAAAACTATTATACAACTTTTACTAAATATGAATTATGATGATAGACTACCTTTTTTAACTTATTAATTTATTCATAAATATTGAAATTATCGAAATAAATCTCATCATATATTATGAGAATGTGGCACGAGGTGTCTTAGGTTATTAAAAACAAATCAAAAGCAAGGAACTCTAGTGATTTTTTTAAAAAGTACATTCTTGAAAAGCTTTAAATAAAATTGCAGTGCTTGTTACAAATGAATGAGATCTTTTCACTTTAATCCACATAGTAGGTTGTGTTGTGTAAACATTGCTACAATATTTAAGTACTTTTTTCACGTCATTTTGTGTAAATATTTCAGTAAAATGTATACGATTTAATGTTATTATTCTTCTCGCTTAATTACATTCGTTTAAGTAAATTAAATTTATAATTAAATTTTTTATGTTATTTTTACTGTTGATGTTCTGTCGACTGTAACATGGATCATAATAACATCCTTACAAGGCAACACAATGTCAACATTTCACGGTAATATTGACAGAAGCTGACATATCGAGAATATTGAAAAATGTTAGCAATGTTGACTCAATATTTTGTACTTTGTGGGAATCCTCTTGGTTATTGAATTTAAAAGAAAAAAGACCTTAACAGAAAACAGATATTCAGATAATATTGCACTGAAAAAATTAGGTGTTTCTGACAGCTGAGTGGTCGTAGCGCTGCACTCCCTGGCCTTGAGTGTTGATGCTGTTCAGTATTCGGGTGCGCAGACGCATCACGAGGGTTAGCAGCGATCTCTCTTATTTCAGGACAGCTGCTTTACCGATAAAATAGTATTGCTGCTTTTCTTCACAATGTGACAGCGTTCCAATAAAATAAAGTATCTGTACCGAAATCGAAGAGAACAGCTATATCTTGAATTCCACAGCAGCAGTACTGGCAGAGAAGGCAGCGATACCTAATTTTTTCAGTGTGGACTGATACTCGCACGTCGTTAGAGTATGCAAGATATTTTTGTGTCACGATGTCACAAAATATTAAAGGATATCGTAGGGACGTACTTTAATATCTGTTGAATATCCGGTTGCTGTGAGAGGATGTCAACTATATTTATTTAACGTTACTCTCATCTGCATTTTATACATCAATTAACATGAATAATTTACATCAATTTCTGTTTAGCACATTCAGGACAAATAATATCTTCAGCGTCGGTGATGAATCCACGACCAACCAAAGAAGTATTGCACCCTGCACAAATAAAACAATCGTTGTGCCAATGTCTGTCTTCAAAGGAAATGAAACGTGTTCCACCAATTCCTGAAAATAAACAAATTTTAATATTTAATGTAAATAGGAAATAAAAAAATATTACAAATTTTGTGGCTTGTGGCATCCCTGCTTACAGCAAACATGCTAAAATAGCAAAATGTACTAACAGCTCAACATCAAGTAAGATGGATTGTCCTAAAATTGGCATTGAAATGTAATAATCAAAATGTCTGATTAATTCGACCGATCAGGATTCATTAAAAGAAAATAACATATCGCAACTAATTAAAAAAAACTATTAACATTTGAGGAGTAAGCGGCAAAAGTAGATATATCCATTTTTTTAAAAAAACTTTCACTTTGCATTTTCCATTAATGGTAACACAGGCACACAAAAAATAAAAAGCTGTTTGACCGAGACACAACACTAGTCTATTTCCATGTATTTTTTCACGCTGAATCCGAATCCGAAGTCAGAATTATCAGATTGGCTTTTATTTTTGAGATAAACTCAAAAAACTGCTCAGAAAGAAAAATATAATCAAAAAGTTAAAAAATTTTTGAATGTCACTGCGATAGTGTAATTCCATGTATTTTTTGTCGCTGAATACGAATCCAATGTCAAAATTGTTAGATTCGATCAAATTTTTGAGATAATAGCAAAAAAACGCAAGTAACAAAAAACTCAAATAACTCAAAATCAATTTTTTGGAATTATCTTCTAAATTTGAGCCAATCTGTCAATTCTGACTTCGAATTCGGATTCAGCGTGAAAAAATACATGAAAATGCACTATCGTAGTATTTCGGCAAAAAAAATTATCTGTGCCCCTAATTCAGAATTTTTATCAGTTTTTGGCGATTTTAGCTCAAAGAAATTTTTTTTGCCGAAACACTACGATAGTGCATTTTTATGTATTTTTTCACGCTGAATCCGAATTCGAAGTCAGAATTGACAGATTGGCTCAAATTTTGAAGATAATTCCAAAAAATTGATTTTGAGTTATTTGAGTTTTTTGTTACTTGCGTTTTTTTGCTATTATCTCAAAAATTTGAGCGAATCTAACAATTCTGACATTGGATTCGTATTCAGCGACAAAAAATACATGGAATTACACTATCGCAGTGACATTCAAAATTTTTTTAACTTTTTGATTATATTTTTCTTTCTGAGCAGTTTTTTGAGTTTATCTCAAAAATAAAAGCCAATCTGATAATTCTGACTTCGGATTCGGATTCAGCGTGAAAAAATACATGGAAATAGACTAGTGTTGTGTCTCGGCCAAACAGCTTTTTATTTTTTGTGTGCCTGTGAATTAAATAAATTTCCTAAAAATCACTGTTATATTAAAAAAATTAGAATATAGAATTAAAAAATAAATTTTAATTAAAATTAATATAGAATTATATTAACCCCTTCACAGTAAGAGAAAAAATTAATACTTTTACCAAAATGTCCTACAAATTCTGGACGACAAATTTTTATGAAACTTATTGTTAGTATAAAAGAGTTTTCGGGGTCTCTAAATTAAAAAAAAATTTCGTTATTTTTTATTGTTTTTTAATTTTTTATTAGTTAGAAATAATAAATAATTATTTATTTATTACTTAAGTAAATACCATTGATACCTGTAGTGTGCGAATTATGATATAAAAGAATTCATTTTACAACTTAAATAAAAAATTTCATTTATTTTGTGTTAAGATGATCACGGTACAACGTATGTGTCACTCACAGTTTGAGCCCCTAATTTCACACGACACAGCGTATCACAGTGGTTTGAAATCAAAAAGTATTGTTCAAAACAGTCTAGAGCCTACAAATAACAACCGATTTTGGAATTTTTTTTTTAAATGATCTTTAATAAAATTGTAAGAGATCCCTCCAATCCGATTTTTGATTTTCAATTTGCATAAATAATTATATTAATATAAACAAATAAAAAAACGTAATTTTTTACATATTACTCTTATTTTCAAAAAAATATGTAAAGTTTTTATTGTTAGGTATTTAAATTTACTCCTCTGGATCTCTGAATTGTAGAATGATGATATAGACCCATTAGTATATTTTTATAAATAAATTGTTAATTTGGGCAATGATTTCAATTAACTTAAATGAAACTGATTACTCAGGGATTTTCGGGGTCGCTGATCACGAATTCGATGTCAGTTTTTTAAAATTCAAAATGGCGGATCCAATATAGCGGACAAAATTTTAAAAATCGCTTAAATTCGCTTGAATCTGGTTACTCGGGGGTTTTTGGGGTCGCTGACCACGAATTCGATATCAGTTTTTCAAAATTCAATATGGCGGACAAAATTTTAAAAATCGCTTAAATTCGCTTGAATCTGGTTACTCGGGGGTTTTTGTGGTCGCTGATCACGAAATTTATTTAGGTCTTTTTGTTACTGTTTATAAATTATACGTCAGTGTTTTAAAAATTTTAAATGTCTTCTAAGAAAACTTTTTTAAGGGAATACAATGAATTTTTAAAAATTCGTTCGTGATTTTGGATCTGCCATTTTGAATTTTGAAAAACTGACATCGAATTCGGGATCAGCGACCCCGAAAATCCCTAAGTAATCAGTTTCATTTAAGTTAATTGAAATCATTGCTCAAATTAACAATTTATTTATAAAAATTTACTAATGGGTCTATATCATCATTCTACAATTCAGAGATGCAGAGGAGTAAATTTAAATACCTAACATTAAAATTTTACATATTTTTTTGAAAATAAGAGTAATATGTAAAAAAGTACTTTTTTTTATTTGTTTATATTAATATAATTATTTATGCAAATTGAAAATCAAAAATCGGGCTCGAGGGATCTCTTACAATTTTATTAAAGATTATTAAAAAAAAAAATTCCAAACTCGGTTGCGATTTGTAGGCTCTGGACTGTTTTGAACCCTACTTTTTGATTTCAAACCACTGTGCGTATGTGTCAGGACAGAAACTTGCAGGCAGCTTGCTGTGCAAACATGTAGCAAGTTTGGTGCAAGCAACAAAATGTCCTCTTACAGCAAACTTGCAGGGCAACCTTGTTGCAAGTTTGCAAAACAACACGATGCGCTGTTATAAACGGAAGCTCCTACGGTTGCGCAATAAATTTTTTAACATCCAAATTAGGGTGCCCTATATGTTTATTTAGAAACAACTTGTTTCTAATTTTTTTTTTAAATATTACACCGTCCAACAAAATTCAACTTTTTTTTGACCCACAAAAAAATCCAACATTTTCGGAAACTAGGACCAAAAAAAAATTACCCGTGTCTGGCCGTTTTGCTAGATCAAGTCGTTTGTGATTTTTATGGGTGAAAACAACCCCTAAATAAAAAGTAACAAGATGTCTTTTGAAAATTATTAATTTTTTATAAAACTTGGTATCTAGGGGTTTTCTGGGTCGTTGATTATTAATCTGATGTCAGATTTTCAAAATTCAAAATGGCGTATCCAATATGGCGGTCAAAATTTTAAGAAGTTGTTAATTTTTTAAAAAATTTTGTATGCAGGGGTTTTTGGGGTCGCTGATGTCGAATCTGATGTTAAATTTTCAAAATTCAAAATGGCGGATATAAAATAAAAAATTAATAACTTTTTAAAAATTTGATCGCCATATTGGATCCGCCATTTTAAATTTTGAAAATCTGACATCAGATTAATAATCAGCGACCCCGAAAACCCCCAGATAACAAGTTTTATAAAATATTAATAATTTTTAAAAGATATCTTGTCACTTTTCATTTAGGGGTTGTTTTCACCCCTAAAAACCACAAACGACTTGATCTAGCAAAACGGACGGACACAGGTATTTTTTTGGGTCTTAGTTTCCAAAAATTATGAATTTTTTTGAGAATCAAAATTCATGTCGTCAGTGTTATATAAGCTTTTTGCAAGTTCGCAGCAAGATTGCATAATTGCCTTGCCGTAAGAGGATATTTTGTCGCTTCCACCAAACTTGCAACATAAGATAAACATTTGAGTCGCCGGAAAGTAAAACCACACATAAAATTCTGACGGCCATGTTAATTCAATGGGAGTCAGAATTTTATGTGTGGATTTACTTTCCGGCGACTCATTTGTATTTTTAGCATCTTTCAATCACTGTAAAAAGCAAGCACACTGTGATATATTCTAATGTGGTTTGAATAAAAGCTTAAATTTTGGTGTTTAAAGTTCAGAATGAGACATCTTACTGAAGTTAAACCATGCTAAATGTGACATCATGGGTCTATCTGACCAGAGAAACAAAGTTCGCTAATAGTTTGTGATGTATTTAATAAATTAAATTCCATTTTGTGTAATATTATGACATTCATAAATATACATTTAGTATATTTACCTGTAATTGGTTTACTGCATGCTGTGCATCTTTTAGCGAAGAGCTCACCAAAGCATTCAGCGCAATAGGGTTTATCGTCTCGTGATGTAAATCGTTGACCTGCTAACGAATTGTTGCAATGACTGCATGTGAAGCAATCTCTATGCCATGGTTCATTCTTGTACGTCACACCACCAGCAGTAATAATCTGTTACAAAAAAACTACTTATAAGAAACTCATATTGATCGTATTTGAGCGTCCTCTTGTTAGCTAAGAAACAGTTAATCAAGGACACTTTTATTTTGTATACTCAATTGTAATAACTCGGGAAATATAGATGACAAAATAAGAGATTTACGTCAGAAAAATAATTTCAGAGTATACAAATAAAATTAATAGTAATGTTTAAACAATAGTTTTGTTATTAATTATTAAAAGGTAAAGGAATTTGAAATTAAAAATTTTTTTAAATAGAAAGTAATCTAGTGAGCAAACAACATTCTTTGTTCCAAAATTTATTTGGGGAGAAATTTAATTATTGATTAAAATTGGATATTTGTTTTTTTAGACATTGACTAAATACTAAATATAATTAAATAAAACAAGTTGTAAATTCAGATGTTCATTACATGAACATTTTGCTTCCTCTTTACGATCAGCAAAAAAATTTGCTTCCTCGTGGAGAAAGCAAAATTTTATTGCCAAAATGTCAATTTTTGATTTTTTAACTTTCATTAATTCTTTAAATTTACTTCAAATGTATACTTTATATATATATCGATCAATTCGTCTTGACGTAAGGAATACAATTATTTCATATATAAACTTCAATTTAAAAAATCACAAAATTTTATAGCCTAAATGTGAAATTTTGATTTTTTTACTTTCATTAATTCTTTAAATTTACCTTAAATGTATACTTTATATATATCGATCGATTCGTCTTGACATAAGGAAAACGATTTTATTATATATAACCTTAAATTTTTTTATTTAAAAATTTTTTCGATTAAAAAAAAATTTTTGGAAAAAAGACGATAAAATTTTTTTTTTGGGATATTTTTCAAAATCCTTTGGTCAGATTTGAGATATTAATATGATAAATGAGCCTACCAAATTTTATCTAAATCCATTAAAACCTGTTAAAGTTATCTTCTAAACAAAAAAGGGATCCACACACACACACACACACATACACACACACATACATACATCCGGACAATTGATCAGGATCTCATATAACATGTTTCTATAAAGAAAAAAATTTGTTTCCGCCACTTTGAAAAGTTTTATAAATGAAAGGACTACAAAGCTTCCTCCACGAGGAAGCAAAATTATAATTTTTAAATGTTTTAGAGTTAAATATTGTCTAATTAGAAATGTATTTGTATTTGTTGTGAATACATTTAGGAAATATTAAAAAATACTACTTTATTTTCGTTTATTATTTGTTTATTTATAATTATTTTCGTTACTCTTTTTTATCATTCTTCTGATACCCTTCTTTTATATTTCTTTCAGACCTCTCAAATAGTGTCAATCCGAAATATATCTTAATTAATTTAAAAACTTTATGTAAACCTGAAAAGGACTCAAAAGGGTCGAAACATATAACAAAAAAACATCTTTGAATAAAAAAACTGTTTTAATGGCTTTTAATGAATCTTATAATAAAGAACCCTTTACACCAAAATTTAAGAAAACAGAATTTACATACTGTTAACACTTATATGGGTTCAAGTATACTCTTTTTATCAATATCAGAAGAAATATAAATAATAATTGTTACGAATTTTTATTTAACTGAATAAATAAAAATTTAAACTCGAAACTAATATTACCTTGTGTGATAGCCAAACAACACTTTTTATAGAACGTACTAAAGGTTGTAGTTAACAAAAAACTAAGAAGAATGGTCCCAAGTAGAAATGTCCGTAGCTCGCCGTAATTAAACACCGGTATGGTACTGATCCAATACTGGTCATCGGTATTGTCATTCAGTACTGGCAGTGTACTGACTAATACACCGAATCAGTACTATATCGGAGGTAAACAAATATTACAACCAGTACTGGCAGAACACTGGAATTCACACCGAATCAGTACTATGTCAGTGGTAAAAAAACATTAAATGAAAAAGTCTTTAAATTATTCCAATAGATAGAAAACGATGATTTTTTATTAAAAAATATGTTTATTAATTTATTTCCAATACTTTCTCTCAAAATTTTTGATGTAATTGTAATGTATATATATATATATATATATATATATATATATATATATATATATATATTATATAAAATATATTTATTTTTGTATAAGTTAAAAATTTTGTGAGATAAAAAAATTCAAGAATAAATACATTTCTTTTTCGTGATCAATAAGTAATACGGTCTTCAAAATCCAAAAATGTTGCATTAGGGTAAAGTACTTCAAGTCAGCACTTCAAGCCAGCGCGGCTGTGCGGTATGCGTATCCGACTAGCGTTCTTAGGGTTAGGGTTCGATCCCTCATGTGTGCGAGATTTTTCATTCTTAGTTTTAAGTGTTATAAGTACAATATTTGTTTATCTGTAATATTAATTATAACACAGGCCTACAAAATTTTGGATTTTGTCAGACCCAGAAACTGGAATAGTCATTTTCGATGTAATTTGTCACGCTGAATCCAAAAATGACAAGGAAATTACTCTATCACGTCAGCATTTTGAGATATTCTAACCTAAAAGCGTGAAAAATGAAGTTTTTGGTAATATTTGACACTCTATGAAATCGACAAAAAATTTTTTTAATCATTGGTCCAAATTTCAAAAGAAAGTATTATATTTCTCCTTTCAAAATTTTCTAGGTTCGATCTGATCCAATTTTTTTCTCTGAGATACAACCATTTAAGTTTTACATTACATGAACTAAAATCCCTTTCAAAAAGAAAAATAAATTGCAAAGTACTCATATCACTGAAACTTATTTCACGGGTATTTTTGAGGTCGCTAATTACGAATCTGACGTCAGATTTTTGAATTTCAAAATGTCGAATCCCATATGGCGGACACTTTTTAAAAAATTTAACGAATTCGCTTGTCATTAATTACTTGGGGGTTTTTAGGGTCGCTGATTACGAATTAAATGTCAGATTTTTGAATCTGATATCACATTCGTAATTAGCGATTTTAAAACCCCCTGAGTAACAATTTTCACTGCCATGAGTACTTCGCAATTTATTTTTCTTTTTTAAAGGGATTTTAGTTCATGCAATGTAAAACGCAAATGGTTGTATCTCAGAGAAAAAAAATTGGATCAGATCGAGCCAAGAAAATTTTGAAAGGGGAAATATAATACTTTCTTTTGAAATTTGGACGAATGATTAAATAAAAATTTTGTCGATTTTATAGAGTATCAAATATTGCCAAAAAACGGCATTTTTTACACTTTTAGGTTAGAATATCTCAAAATTCTGACGGGATAGAGAAATTTGCTTGTCATTTTTGGATTTAGCGTGATAAATTACATCAGAAATGACTATTCCGGTTTCTGGGTCTAAAATTTGTAGGCTTATTAAATAATTAATTAATTAAGTATAAGTGCAAAGTAAAAAAAATTAAATAGTATGAATTGAAAAAAAAATTACAACACAAAAATATTTTTTGTAAATTAATTTATTAAAAATAATATAATTTAATTAACATAAATGATAATTATTATTTTAATTATTTATTATTAATAATAGTTTATATATTCTAAATCAAATTAACTATTATTACCCTCACATTACCTTTTCGTGGTAAAAATGGGAGTAATAAGCTTATAAGGATGAAATTCGCAATGGAAAGAGTATTATATAGCATTTTGTAAAAAAAATGAGATTTTATCTCCGGATGAGTACTTTACCAGTATTATTCCAGTACTACCTTAGTACTGGTGAGCGGGACAAAATCAGTACTGTACAGCGTTACCAGCCAGGGCTGGCCCAGTACGACGGTCAGTACTGTTATACTGACTGGCAGTGTTGGATCAGTACAGTGCCAGTGGCAAATTTCTACTTGGGGTATATTAAAAATTTCCCTAACGGAAAAGAAGTCCAAATGGAAGTGAAAAAATGAATTTTTATAGATGTTGCAATTTCATTCTTGAAACTAATAACTTTGTTGTTGATTTGGGTATGAACTTTGACTCCAGACTCACATTTAAATCACATATTCAAATGGTTGAATCAGATGCATCTAGAGCACTGGGTTGCCTCTTTCGGAACACTAGGGGTTTTACTAATCCTGAAACGTTTATTTTGTTATTTAATGCCTTTGTACTATCTAAATTCAATTACGCATCAATAATCTGGAATCCTATGTTTAATATATACATTCAAGCCTTAGAAAAAATTAAGAAAAGGTTTCTAAAGTTTTGAGTGTTTCGTAGAACAGGATTCTATCCGCCCCAAGGATCTGATTATTATGCTTTGTGTAAAGAATTTGGTTTTCTTACATTAGCTGAACGACGTTTTATAAACCAATCTCTGTTCATTTTCAAACTAATTAACGATTCAGTCAACTGTCCAAGTTTACTATCTCGAATCAATTTCAAAATTCCAAGAGCAGTAAAGCGATACTATCAGCCCTTTCTCCTTCCAATGCCACGCTCGAACATAGGTTTTTCATACTCCAATTTACAATATGTGTAACTCTATTAATCTAATGTGCCTCTGTTATGATGAAAACATTCATCTTTTCAACTCTACGTTAACCTTATTTAAAAAAAAATGTTTAAAATATAATTTATGGCGTAAACATCAGTTAAAGTTGAAAAATTGACAATTTCCGAACTTTCTTGTACCTTTTCTCTTGTAAATATTACTTTTAAAAAAAACTCTATGTGGGTTGAAAAGCTCTGCTTTTCAGCTTCAAAATGAAAAAAAAAACTTTTAAATCGGTGCAAAAATAAAAAAGTTACAAGGGATTATATTCATAAATATACGTGAAAACGGTTTTTTGGCTCTAAAATAAAAATTTAGGGGTGTTAGGGAAATTAATATACCATTCTTCTTAGTTTTTTGTTAACTACATCCTCTAGTAGGTACGATAAAAAGTGTTTTTCAATTTTTTTGTAACACAGTGTTATATTACTAACTCTGATCTCTCTGATCTCGTATCTTATCTTTTTAAAAACTATAACTTATCAAAATAGAAATTACGCCAAGACTATACAGAATAAGTCGAAATATTTTTAACTTCTCGAGAAAACTTATAAATGATGTAATAATGTTTATTCAACAATTCGTCACAAAGTTTACGTCAGTAGTAGAAAAATGAATCAGTGAGTGGTTCATCTTATTTTATCGATGAACTGACTACCTATTTTTTTATTTTAATTGCAACATTTAGCAATGTTTTGGATATATACTGCCATTCAAAAGTATTTTATGCCCCAACAGCAATCAAAGGCATTACAAAAATATTCATATAACTATTCATAATAATTTATTAACAATTTTTAAAAAATGATGTTTTTTAAACAAATGACTATATCTAGAAAAAAATTTTGTTTTTTTGTACTCACTCTCTAAATCTGAATAAGTGAAATTTCACTTAAAATGTGTCAAAAGTCTTCCACGTAGAAAAATAAGTGTATATGCACTTTAAAATATGTGAAACTTCACTTATTTTTGAGTGAAAACCACTTATTTTAAAGTGCATATACACTTATTTTTCTACGTGGAAGACTTTTGACACATTTTAAGTGAAATTTCACTTATTCAGATTTAGAGAGCATTAAATTAAATCCGATTAAAGTTTTTTGACAAAAATATAATTTACAGCTACGGAGAATAATTATTCTACTATAGTATTATAGAAATCTTAAAAAATTCATCACTGGAAAAATTTCTTAAAGTGAATAATTAGATTATTTAGAGTAAAATTTGTATTAAAAAACTAACCTTGTTGCATTTAACACATCGAGTGGCGAATTTGTCTTCATAACATCCAGCGCAATAGATTTCTTGTTCACGTGGAATAAAACTTTTTGTACCAATAGGATTTTTACAAACAACGCAACAAAAACATTTTTCATGCCACTGTCGTGTCTTATATTCCATTTTCTTAGTACCTGCAATAATATATAAATATTTAATTTAAAATCTTTATTAAATTTCCGTCTAAAATAAGAAATACACCGTCCGACACGATTTTTGACCCACAAAAAAATCCAACATTTTCGGAAACTAGGACCAAAAAAAAATACCTGTGTCTGGCCGTTTTGCTAGATCAAGTCGTTTTGTGATTTTTAGGGGTGACAACAACCCCTGAATGAAAAGTGATAAGATATCTTTTAAAAATTATTAATATTTTATAAAACTTGTTATTTGGGGTTTTCGGTGTCGCTGATTATTAATCTGATGTCAGATTTTCAAAATTCAAAATGGCGAATCCAATATGGCGATCAAGTTTTTAAAAAGTTATTAATTTTTTATAAAACTTGGAATCCAGGAGTTTTTGGGGTCGCTCATGACGAATCTGATGTCAAATTTTCAAAAATCAAAATGGCGGATATAAAATAAAAAATTAATAACTTTTAAAATTTTTGACCGTCATATTGGATCTGCCATTTCGAATTTTGGAAATCTAACATCAGATTAATAATCAGCGACCCCGAAAACCCCCAGATACCAAGTTTTATAAAATATTAATAATTTTTAAAAGATATCTTGTCATTTTTCATTTAAGGGTTGTTTTCACCCCTTAAAACCACAAATGACTTGATCTAGCAAAACGGCCAGACACGGGTTTTTTGGTCCTAATTTCTAAAAATGTTGGATTTTTTTGTGAGTTAAAAAAAAGTTGAATTTTGTCTGACGGTGATATATTGTAAGAAATTTAATCGACGACTTTTTGTCAAAAGTATGATCTTAATTCAGATCTATTTTATATGGGTTTTTATATTTTCCCAGAAAAAACCTAGTCTCATTTTTGTTGCAAATCAAAATGAGCCAATGCTAAACGACATAGACAGTGGCGCCACCAACCTGGTTCATTTTTGTCGCACATCAAAATGAGTCGCCTAGGCGGCTCATTCTGAGTTCAGTTTTTTTCTGTGTTGGCTTAATAGTAAGGGGTTACACCACTTTGACCCGACCAAAAAATACGCTTTTTCAACAATTTTTATTGAAGAATAGAAATTTTATTAAGAATATTAAAATACAGTAGGGTATTATACTACTCTCGAAATGAAAAAAAAAATTTATTTATATTTTTTTTCAAAAATATCAGTCTGACAGATGATATGGCGGAGTGCTTCAAAAATGTATCGCCATGAGCTGGGCACTATAACGCGGTCCAGATTTGAGCTAGATCAAAATGAAAAAAGCATTAGTTTTTGCAGCTCAAAATCTAGCGAAATACCTTAGTGGTCCACATATACAGAATGCACCTTTTTCCAAAAATCTTAACATTCGTAAGCAATAAAATTACAAAATACAACCAAAATGTCGACCGCTGGGGTACTTTTCATTTCATATTCGGTTTTCACGACAAGTCTTACAGTCCCTGTCGCCAGCGTACCCTTCTGGTAGCAATAATATTAGTCTAGGTTTCGAACATATATATATGTATACCAAAAATGCACATGTTAAAACATATATACCCTGTTCCAGGAGAGATCGATATTTTTCTGCGCATCTTGTTGTAAAAGGGTGTATTTTTAAGTGACAAAGGCGTTTTCTAGATTTTTTTCTGAAAAACATAGCCAATGATATGAAAAGGATTGTAACATGTGTTGCTTTTCCTATAACTATAATCAAGCAAACATATTTAAAAATTTTGTGACCTGCGAGACTGGTCTCCAAAAGGCAGTCGGAAGGGTCTTTTATGGTTTTATGGCTTTTCATTGCAAAATTAAAAATTGTTGGAATTTAAAAAAATAATTGTATAAATATTATATTTGCAACTAGCTAAAAGAAACGCGCGTAAACGCGCGAGATATCTGCAATTTTTTATGAAAAATTTATTTTTATTTGACGGACACTTTTTGGAATTTTGATCTCACAAAAATAATAATATTATTTTTGTAATCGTTACTGTATTACTATTTCAACATTATGGTGTTATAATAATATAATACCTATTATTGCCCAGTCAATATGACCTTTAAATTTTGTACTCAAATAAAGATTATACAATGCTACGATCGTCGAATTGTCAGCAATACATTTAAATGACCCATCTCAGGATCCATGCAAGGTGAATTCCTATTTTGTTTACCACAAGGCCCATGAACTTAAAATCGCTTTACAATGTTAAAAAGTTCTGGATTCTTTATTTCGTCTGTGATTTCAGCACATATCATTTTATTTAAAGTTTCTGAATCGCAAATTTGTGTACGTAAACAAATAGTTAAACGCACATGTGTCAATCCACGCTTTTTTCTTCTCTATGAAAGACGATACATATAAAATTGTAAATGAATAAAATTACAAGTACCTTGAGTATGCTTAAGGTTAACAGTCCATCCAGGATCACCATAAGGAAACATTGTAGGATATGTCATAGGATCAAAATTTTCCCTAACAATAAGACTAGAAATTATTTTCTTATTATTTTCTGTTGTGCATACTGAATTTACATCAACATGTAAATCCCTCTTCAATTTCTGTAGATAATTTCTTCATCTTACAGGACAAACTTTTTTCTTTGGGTATTTTCTTTTCATTCTCAGTTTGAGTAGACAGAACTCTGTTGTCATTTTTACTGGGAAAAGTCTTTAAAAAATATGAAAGGTTTAGTTCACCATTTTCAACTTCTTTAGCTCGATTTATGAAAAGACAATTCCAATCATTCTCTACAAATCGAAATCCTAATATTAGACATTCTAACTGCCGGAAAATTATTTAATTAATTGTTTTCAAAAAATGATATCAAATGCTTGCTCATTATATTATTATCAGTTTCATAAATTAATCTTTTAATTTACACTGTTAACCAATACAGATGTTGCAAATGCTATTGCATTATACTTTACACTTAACTGTACCAATCGGTTGTTGATCAACATCTACAAAAAATTCTGTTGGTTTGAAAGGGAACAATCTAATTAAATATTCTATTTGGTGAATATTCAAACACCCTGCATTAAGGCTATCAAAAATATAAAGTCTTACTCCATCGTAATAAACACAAATCCAATGACCAGCATTGTTATTACCGCTAAAAACTATTTGAATATGTTTAACTCTTTCTCTAATTGGAACAATTAAATCAAGCATTTGTAAATACAAAGTACTTTGCATAATGAAAAAAGAATTTGAATCATTTTTTGATAATTCTTGAAATTTATACATGTTCATATCATTTAACATTTCATTTACATTTTCAATAATTTTAAAATCTTCATTACTTAAAATAAAATACTCTTCTATGTTCGACATGGTATCCTTCTTCAACTTTCAAACTGTTGATAAAGCCAATTTTCAAAACAAATCGTTTATTTTAGTTTATTGCTTTAAAAAATTTACTTACATGTGTTTCACCTATAAAATATTGCATTAACTATAATTCATCTAACTAATGCAACAATGATAGTCTTTTATGAACGTGAATTAGCGTTGTTTAATCTTTTTCCACATCACATAATTTTCGATAATGATTATTATTGAACTTATTTTCCTCTGCACTTTTTATTAATATTCAAATCAATATTCAACTCACAAACTATTATTTAACCCATAAAACAATTTTAACCCTTAAAACAATATTCAAACCTCTTTCTATCTATTTAAATACTTTTCCAAAAGCCAGCATCCTCTATTCTCAAACAGTCAATATTTTTTTTTCAATATCGAAATATATTCAATGCCAATGTTATCCAATATCATATTTTATTATCCTCAAAATCCAAATATCTTTAATGCCAAAATTACCCAATACCAAAAATTTTTTCCAAAAGACAGCTTCCACTATTATAAAACAATCAATATTTTTGTTGCATTATTAAAATATATTCAATACTAATGTTATCCAATATCTTTCTTTATCCTCAAAATCGTAATATCTTTAATGCCAATGTTATTTAATACCAAAAAAACTAAATGGATTGAAGTATTTTTTATATGAAACATTTAAGACAACCAAAAGAAACAAATATCTTCAATACCAATATCATGCCATATCCATATTTATCTTTAAAATACATATATAATTATTAATACTATACAAAAATAGGAATATATTTTTTGGGCCCAATACAAAAATGAAAAAGACAAATATAATATAAGAAGATTCAACACCTGCAGTAAGTTATTGATCGACAAATTGCAGAAAAATATTATAAACTTTATAATAATCAAGTTAAGTTACCTGAGACTATTAGAATCTTTTTTTAGCAACACTACTACAATGTTGTTGAAACGGTAGTCGGTTGCTCTATGTTTATCTTACATCAGCAGTAGCCGTTTCACTCCATTGAGGAGAAGTGTTATACCCCCACTCTACCAATCTGGGCCTATATTAAGTTCTCGCGAGTGGCAGATATTACGGTAGGCCTGAGTGGCATCCTCGGGGATAGGTGTTGGTAAGTTAAGTATGAATACACCACTTCCACTCACTGGGATTAAACGGTTATCATCTATATCGCATATACAATAATAAAAAAATTTCCCTCAACCCAAGACTGTTAGGACGAATCGAGCGATCACGGATTGGGTCCTGAAAAGGGAAGTGGTATATCTTCATTCTATCGGCCTGTCCCGGGCTCAGACCTCGAGTAAGTCAATTACAGCGGGGGCCTGTATGACGTTCTCGGGCTTAATGACAATATTATTTTATGACGCTTAATGAGTTTTTCAAAAAAATTATAAAATTTTTAAATATAAACACTGTTTAATTTATTTTGACATATTCGTTTTCCTCAGAAGTTCACGATTTCGATCATATATTGCTCCAATAATAACACAGGCACAAAAAAAATTCAGGTCCCAAAAAACACAACCCCATATTCCTATGTTTTTGTGGTCGCTGAAACCGAATATGACCATTAACAATTTTTTTGACGACCCATTTTCCCGCAACCACCCCTTGCACCTACTCACGGGGGTTGGAGTTTCAAATTAAAAAAAA